TGTAGCAGAAGCTAAAACCCTGGGTTCCTTTAAATCAGAGCTAGATAAAATTTGAACAACTCTGAGCTATTAGTTAAGTTCTCCCCAAACGAGCTTGATGGGCCGAATGGCCTCCTCTCGTTTGTAAATTTCTTATGTTCTTATGTTCTTAAAGCAGATACCTAAATATCTCTTTATACCTGCCCTCTCTTTTTCTGGGGGGCAGACAAACATGCACATTAACCATATTTACCGCTTATGTGGCCTTCACTACTTTTGTACGTTTCATCCTCTTCCTCCGCATGAGCGTGACCTGTGGTCGCTTTAGGCCTGCGATGAGTAGCAGGAGTGCTGGCCGGGACCTGGTGAGCCAGCTTCTCAGTAGCGCCCCCTTGGGAAACCTGGAAGAGAGCAGGGACCAGCCATCCGCTGATAATCAATGCTAATGGCTTCATAATGGCTCATAATAAAAAGTTGTGATGATGTTAATTAAATCCCGTGAGAGAGCTAGCAGCTCCCGCCTTTGTAGTGTGTTCAGCTTTTTGGGGCTGATAATGATGTTAAAAAATGGCGGCCATTGCAAATAGTCTGCCTCTTACTGCCAGCTGTAGCACATGGACAGAAATAAAAGGAAAAACACCTTTATTGTAATGCAAAGAAACATTTTAAGATTTAGTATCGATCAATTTTTAGTTAATGTCTTATGCTTCTTGCCGTCATGTGTTTACATTACAATATTTTCCATCAGATTCAAAAACCTTTGTTTCTAATGTTTTAACTTAAACATAAAACTACTGCCAAAGGAGTATATGTTTAATTTTTTATTCTTTAGCTTCTTTAAGCTTTAATGATAACACGCAAAGCTTAGCGTATGGATCAAAGAAAGGCTTATTTATCTGAGTAATTGTTAATCATCACCATTATCACATTGTCTCATATGACTGCAGTGGATTATCACTCAATGTAAATGTCACATTGTTTGGCTGTACCCTGGGCACATGATTAATTTTTCTAAAAACAGGGAATCTTTTTTTATTCATGAGTGTCTCCTTCCATTAGTGTGCTAAAATTGTTGAATGATTCATAGAATTTATCTATTCTATTCGACACATGAAATGAACATATTCTAATAATTAACTACACAGTCTTAACACAATCACATTTGCAACCAGTGTTTAGCTTATCGCTCTAATAAGCAGCATAAACAACCCATTAAATACTCCTGAAAATTATAGCATTATTTGTGTTTGAATGGCTGTGTAACGCATAATTGAGTGCATGAGAGAATTTCTTTTGTCTGTTTTTTAGTCCCTTAATTTGTTGTGTCCTAATTAACATGCAACTCACTTTAACGTTAATAGTTAAATAGTTAAAGTTTGTGGGGTGAAAATGTTATCATTGACAGGTTCTGCAGTGGCAAATTGACACACTATACATGGGCTAACTATAAATGTACTGTGCAAACTGGTATCTATATGCATACAACTCATCAGTCATTTTGCATGGACATGCTAATACTTTTTTTTAATTATTATTAATTGTGCACCATTTTTTTGGTCAGTGTCTACCTAAAAAGTGTTTCATCTCTTGCTTCAGCTGTAGTTCAACTTTTTCCAGAATATATGGAATTCCATTAAAAAATTAGCAGTATGCCAATCCACAGACATGGAAAATGCATCCAGCTGCATTGTTTTCAATTGCAGTGGAACACCCACATGAAAACAGGCTTCACACAGTGTATCAGGTGTGAGGCCACACACACAGCTTCCATGTCACCGCACTCAAACAAGCAGCAACCTCATATCTTCATGGTTGCTCACAGCTTTCCTTCCTTTGGTGACCAGCTGTTGTCCTGATTCAGCCATTGGCTCAGCGTCTCGCCAAAGCATCATAACAGCAATCCGGTCTCTTTGATGAAAACCCGCAAACACGGTAACCAGGACAGGCGCCCAGCACCATCTGCAGCTCACTTTCACTTTGTTTCTAAATTTTTTCCACATCCCTCAGCTTTCAGTTATGAATGCTGAGTTTGTAGCAAAGCACAAAGTCATCATTTCTTTGACTTTTGCAGGATAAACTTGGTTAATCTGACCTGAGAAGATCTGCTAAGGCACTGGACCTTACTACCGATATTGTTTTCTGAAGTTGATGTTAAATATTTACACCCTTTTTAGTCCATATTTTCACTAATCTGTTATATTCCTCAGATTTGATGAATATGTGTGTAAATATTTTCCAGAGGGGTAACAGAATTGACAGGAGTATTCAGAAATTTCCCCTCAAATCTTACTTTCCTACTTCAATAAGCAGCGCTGAGCCTTGATAATATGAAGCACACATTAAGCTCTCTTACTGGTTTGAAATCTACCTACAAGACTGAATTTCTTCATCAACGGAATGTTTTCCTTTACTAGTCAGATAAGCACAGTCTATTTTCAGGTGCTGACATCCCTTTAGAGGTACAGTAACAGTATCACGTAACAGCACCATAAATGCATAGTTCTAGAAAAGCTTGAAGTCCTTTTAGTTTGTCTTAGAAGAATTTGGTTTTCTGTTTGCGTAACTCTTTCTACATGTAAGAGTAGAAAGACAATCTGTTTCCGGTTCCAGTCTATCATCAGCTCCTTACTGTTTGCCAGGGTTTAATCGGGAGTGTGGAGCACCTTCTTGCCACCTCTAGGTGACTTTGTGTTTGACCTGGCAGTCCTGGGCGCTTCTCCTGCTTGTTCTGCTCTGTTCCTTGTCAACCTTTCTCTTTCTCTTCCACTATACTAACACCTCAAACTGCGGTTTGCTTTCTCTCCCCGCAGATCCCCAATCAATGCATTGGTGTGGGGCCTCCATGAGGTTTGGCACCCCCTGTTGGCCACACATACAACAAACAAACACTATACCAAATAATAAATATATTCCTTAGTCAAAAAATGCTGAAGCAGCTAGTTAGCTATTTGTTTAGTTTTTGAAACCTCTTGGTGGGGGGCAGGGGGGGTGCAACAGCAAACAACAAAAATTCAATGTTTTGCTTGGAGTTGCAATGCATTATATTCAGCTAAATAAGCTCCGCTGTGGTTCAGGTTTACAAAGGAATTGCCTAATTGTTTCCATAAAAACCCAAAGGAAACATTGTCACAATGTGAGAATCAAGATCCACCTTTTTTAATAGCAGTTAACTTGAGATGGGATGAAACACCCCTTCCCCCACCAAAACCAGCATCCCTTAGGCTTTATCAGCAGCTAACGCTAACCAAACTTTGATACACATTACTTGTACACTGGAAAACCACACAATAAGAAACACGTAAGGTTGTTCTTACCAATTGACCCCACACATTTCTTAGGTTATGCCCCTCGCGTGCCCATAAAGCTGCATATGTGATCCGAATGGAGTTTCTGGCCTCACGCTAGAAGGTTCATCCAGAGTGCAAACACAGGTCTGCTGAATAATGGGGGACCATGAACTCCACGGGGGGGGGGCTCAAAAGGCTGGGTCCACTCAGCAGTTCTCACTTCCAATGGGAACAGATGAGCTCAGCGGCCCAGCCAATCACGGGCCTCCAGTTCCCCATTGCTGTGACACCTGACATGGCACCAAAAATGGGCGTCGCCTTTTTCCCACTGATTACAGTTTACTTGATGCAACCAAAGTGCCGCATCCCAGAGAATGTATTTTTATGTAAATAAAGTATAATACATACCTATAATGTTCATACGACTGAACAACTGTATAATGATACTTAGCATGGTATGTATGATTTTGTATTGTGTTTTCAGATCATAATAATCAGTATAACAGACATGATAACTATTTTTTCTTTAACATATTTGCTCAGTCAACTGATCATTAAGAGGAAAATCATGAACATTAATTATTATGTTGTGTTTGCTCACATACAAGCTGGTTAGCATAACCTGTTACTGCTGTAGGTTTCGTTTTCTTCTATTTGGGTTTTTGTCCTTTATTACAGCTTCCTGATTTTGGTTCCCCACCCTCAGCTCCACCAGCCACCAGCACTTGGTGCTTCTATTTCCTGCACACCTTCTGTCCAGCGGGTGCCCCCTGTTCCAGCATTACCTGCTACCTGCTGTGTCGAGCAGAAATCCTGGCACCCTGAGTGGACCGCTACGGTTCAGGGTGCTTCCTGTTCGTGTCTTACTGGTTCTTTCTGCAAGCCCCACGTCCGTGCCGTGACAGCTCCAGTGTTCCAGGTGACAGACATCAGCCTAATCCTTGGCCACCACTGGCCTGGATCTCTACACTGTTTCCTTGCTGGTCCCCCAAACATCCATATGCATTGCCACTGTCACTTATCTTTATTACACCCCCTTAGAAACTTTCATATTCTCTGATTATATCAAATGTTGCTCGCTAGTCTTCTTTAAAGACATTACATCCATCCATTCCCAGAGGCTACTGGCGCAAGGCAGGGACCAACCCATCGCACACCTACGGGTAAGTCCAATTAACCTCAGCACCATTTTGGACTGTAGGGAAGGGGGGTAACCAGAGTACCTGGAGGAAACCCCACGACGACACGGGGAGAAAATGCAAACTCCACACAGAGGGCACCATGGCAGAGACTCACACCCGGGTCCCAGAGGTGCCACCATGCTAAATATAGTTGCTTAAACATAGTATCACGTTTTCTGTAGGCAAAGAGCATAATATTGGTACTGACGCTTGCATTTCCATTCTGACTAATAGACCTTGCAGGTGAAGCCTCGGGGCTGCGCTTTACAGAACGCTTACACGACACCACAGCAAAGGGCTTCTCTCAGAGGTTCCGGGATCGGAACCGACACCAGAGGTTATTAAACTGCAGTGTTCTGCTCCTGGAAGGCAGAATCAGGAGGGCTGGTGTCTGTTGAGCCTGACCAATTGTTAACTGTGCAGAGAGAGGAGCCAGGAGTTAAAGACCAGAACAGTCGGCATGCTGAGCTCAGCCAGTGGGCCTGTGTACACCCTGCGGAATGCTGCGGAATGCTGCGGAATGCGCACAGAGCCCAAATACCTAACAGGCAGTCACCCCACTGATACGTGTTCCTTGGTCACATGCTCGCATTGAGCAGAGCGCATGCTTGTGAAGCAACCATAAATAACAGTTTAAATTGTGTCCACAGCAGTGGTCGTCACAGCAGCATCGATTCCATTCTTTTTCCATTACAGATAAGCAAGGAGTCTAAACCAGGACAGCACAGGGCAGGGGTACATCCTGGACTGGGTGCCCGTCTGCTGATAAACACAGTGCAGGGGACACCCTAGACTGGGTGCCCGTCTGCTGATAAACACAGTGCAGGGGACACCCTAGACTGGGTGCCCGTCCGCTGATAAACACAGTGCAGGGGACACCTGGGATTGGGTGCCTGCCCGCTGCACAGCATGCATTCTCACACGTTTAGAGACACAGATGATTGTGGACTGCCCAAGAAAACTGGAGTCCCTGGAGGAAATTGAGAAGACCACAGGGAGGAATGCAGACTCCATGAACACACACACACACACAGAGCCTACGAGCAGCAAATTAATTCCATAATTTTAACCATCCATCCATCCATCCATCCATCC